AAAAAAAAAAAAAAAAAAAAAAAAAAAAAAGGTAGGGAGAGACATTAAGTAATTAGAGAACTAAATGTAAAATTGCAATTTACTTAAAATCTAAAAATCTCTTGCTCGGTAGGAGTCTGCTTCTTCCTCTGCCCCTCCCCCTGCTTGTGTGCTCTCTCTCTCTCTCTCTCTCTCTCTCTTTCTCTCTCAAATATATAAAATCTTAAAAAAAAAAACAACAAAAGACTGAGAGAAAAAAAAGATACTAATTTAATTTCTGTGACGGTTTCACAACTTCTATTTTGCCTTTTCTACTTCAGTAATTCTGACACCGTGAGTTGAAGGAGCTAATTTGAGAGTCCGCAACTAAATGTATCATTAAAAATGGGAATGACATTTGGGAAACGGAAATGACTTTTGACTGCTGGTTGACCGTTGTCTATGAGTTCTCTCTCACCTCTCTGAAAATCTTAATTATATCTATCACAAAGTCTTGGGATTTTTGCTCCATTACCTCTGTTTCCTTTGGTCTGAACTCTTTTATCTGATGACTTCCTAGATCTCTTTTTTATGTCCTTGGTCATCCATGAATGGTGACTTATTTTACTTTATTTTTATAAATGGTGATTCTTGGTTGTCTCTCTTCAGCTTTGAGAATCTGTGTTCACCATTCCTTCACCCTCTGTTCTGCACAACCTACCGCCAGAGATTTGGGGGAAGGGGTAAGATCACACTTGAGCCTGAGTAGGGAGTTCTGTTGGTGGTTTGCCTTCGGGGAGTTTTTGCTCCCCACTCGTGGAATTCATTACCCGCCACGCATTTCTCTGCCTTCCCATGACCGTTTCACGCACCGCTTTGGCCAGTGGACAGAGCTGCTGCTAACTCAGTATGGGTGGACACGAAAAGCTACCAGCTTCCCTCATCAATCATCCCAGTACATACCCCAGAGCCACCTCTCACTTCTGTATCTGGACTTGACGTTCCTCTAAGCCTTTGTATACTTTACTCAGACTCATTAATGGTTAACATTTTGCCCCACTTCCATCATTTTCTTTGTCAATGTATCTAATGTATATTCTGTTTTTCAAGTTCTTGAGAATAAGAAGCAGACATCATGCTCATTTGCTCCTAAATATTTCCATGTGTATTTCCTAAGAAAAAAGACATTCTGTTATATAATCACAGCCCAATTATCAAAAGCAGGAAATGTAACATTGATTTAAAAAAACCAAAAAAACCCAACAACTCAAAAAACCTCTTATCCAGCCCTCAGTCCATATGCAGATTTCATTACTGATCTCAACAATGTATTTTATAGCAGTAATTTTTCCTAGTCCGAGATCTAACCTAGGATTTTATCTTTTGGCTCCTACATGAATTAGTTTTATTTAATTATCATGTCTCTTTACTTTCATATAATTTCAGAGAGTTTCTCAGTTTTTCTTGTGCTTCATGACCCCGCGATTTTTGGAGAAGGATATAGGCCAGGTTTGGGGGGGGGGTTGTTTTGTTTTTGTTTTTTTGGGTTTTTTTGTTTGTTTGATTGTTTGAATAGAATGTCCCTTGACTTGAGTTGCCTGAGGTTTTCCTTACATTTACATTCAGGTCATGTATTTTGGCAGGATTAACTCAGTGTATCATATCAGAAGGCACATGATGTTCATCCCAGCGTTGATGTTCGCCTTGATCACCTCATTGAGGTGATATGTTCTGTTGGTTTGCACACTGGCCCCAGCCACGGAGGGCAAGGTGGGACCAAAGAAAGAGGCAGACCACTCCAGGGTGATAGGTGACAGGTTTTTTTTTTTTTTTCCTTAAGATTGTATTTATTTGTCAGAGAGAACACAAGCGGGGTGAGCAGTGGGCAGAGGGAGAGGCAAGCAGAGGGAGAAGCAGGCTCCCTGCTGACCAAAGAGCCCAATGCGGGACTTGATCCCAGGACCCAGAGATCATGACCTGAGCTTGATGCTTAAGGGACTGAGCCACCCAGGCAGCCCCTGAAACCAGAGGAGGACAGGGGCATCTGTGGATTATAGTAGACATGAAAAGCACTTGGGGGTGAAGAGTCTGAAAAAGCAAGACAGACCCAGTGTGAAAAGTCCTGGAAGCTGGCAGGAGTATGAGCTTTTTTTCTAAGGGTGTGGGAGATGTTGATGATCTGTGAGCAAAAGGTAATGCTATTAGAGAACTCAATGTTTAGACAATTTACTCTTCGTGGTATGGGGATGTCTGGGCAGTGGGAAAGAGGGATGGAAGGTAGGAAAACCTAGACCTCAGGAGGCCACAGTAGTGGGAAATGAGAGCCCAAACCTAGGTCATGGTTATGAATCATTTTAAGTTTTTGGAATGCCTGGAAGCCACCGAGCTGTTCATTAAATTAAAAAAAAATAATGAGGGGCACCTGGGTGGCTCAGTCAGTTAAGTGCCTACCTTCCGCTCAGGTCATGCTCTCAAGGTTCTGGGATCGAGTCCTGCATGGGGCACCTTGCTCAGTGGGGAGTCTCCTCCCTCTGTCTCTGCCTGTGACTTGTGCTCTCTCTCTCTCAAATGAAGAGCAAAATGTATTTTTTCCTTAAGATTTTATTTGTCAGAGAGAGAGAGAGAGAGAGAGCATGAGCAAAGGGAGGGGCAGAGGGAGAGGGAGAAGAGAAGCAGGCTCCCCGCTGAGCAAGGATCCCCATGCTGGACTAGACCTGAGCCGAAGACAGACACTTAATCATACCAATACCCAGGTGTCCCTAAATAAAATCTTAAAAAAAAATAAAATAAATAAAAATTTTAAAAATAATGAAAACAAGAGAGGAAACAAAAACAAAAAAGTATTAATATTTAATTCTTATTTATAATCTATGATTTACTAATAAAATTCCCATTTCACACTATAAAACAACACATGAACACTATAATCAAGCTCCTAGCATCTACAGAAACAGATCAATTTTACGTGGTTTGCTCTTTTGAAGTTTTCCTGTAACTGTGTGTTTACCTGCTAAAAGAGCTTTTCTTTTTTCCTTGTTTTCAGGTTAATGATGGAATAAGCCTCAGTTAAGAAAAATGTGTAATTTTTTTTATTTAGAGAAATGTACCTACTAAGATGCTTTAGAAAAATGAATTAATAAAGACTACAATTCTATTTTAAGAGAGGAACCAAGGCCCAGCTCCCTGTCCAAATAGCAAAATTGGATATCATTTATTAGTTACAAATGATATTAGTAAAATCATTTAATAAGTTACCTAAAAACAAATAATCAATTAATTAGTTATTATTAATTATTAATTTATAATATATATTATATCATATATAATATATAAAATAATATATAATATACTTAGCACATGAATTATTGATTTAGTAACAATATATATTATCAATATATTGATTATAATTAATATGATATATTAATATACTTATTAATTATTATTGTTTATATTTATTAATAACTAATAAATAACAAAAAGCTGCCATTGAAAAAGTATCCTTTGCTTTCCATGCATTTTAGAATGTAGGTATTATTATCTTCTTTTTACAGACAAGGAAGTTGGAACAAGAGAAATGAAGTAAACTGCTCTAGGTCACAAAACTAGGGAGAGCAGAGTTCAGATTGCAAGCCAGGCGCGTCTGAGGCAAGTGCCAGCATTCTTCACACACTGAGCTGCTCCCACTTAACAGCACCTGCAATGGTTGATTCTCTTCCAATTCGTAAATATCTCATCATGGAACCGCCTACATAGTCAACATTTTTCTCCAACATAGTCGTTGCATTCAGGTGTACTAAAAAAGGTTAATGAAGAAGTAGGTCATAGGAACCAACCTTTCTGCCACCAACTAAAGCAGCGCCCGTGCCCCTGGGATGCCCTACTCTGTAATTGCGTATGATTTCACCCAGAAGCGGAAAGAAAATGCCCACTCATTTCCCTTGAGTTAAACCCCTCACTCACCCACCCATCTCCTTCTTTTACTTTAACCAAGGTCTGAGGCACATCCCTAGTGGAACGTTCCTCCCAGGCTGCATCAGCTCCCAGGGGCAGCAAGGGTCCCAGACTGGGGCTGCAGGGTCCCTGGGAGAGTTCAGGTTATGCCCTTACGAGCTACTAATGCACTTGCGTATCTGGACGCCCTTCTCTTAAAACGTTGTATTCATTGTAAAATGTGGTCTGGAAGACACCACAGAGAAAGCTGCGTGAACAACTCACACACCCTGCAGTGGCGAGTCTGTCTTTCCAGGAGACTGCAGGCCCTTTCCGGCCCCAGAAAGGTGGCTTTCCTCGGGACAGGGGACTCGGCTCCTCTCCTGACACCCAGCTCAGACCGGGTATTCAATGGATGGTTGGATCTAGTCCAAGCCACTGTCTCCCAGCTATGATGGTCCCCAGAGGCGAAGACGTGAGATTCCCTGACCACGTCTACCAGGGCCTCGCTCCCACTCCCAAGTGTTTGCAGGACACCCGGCTGCTTGTTTTCAGAGCCCCAACAGCGTGGGGGGTGGGATCAGACTTCACTACCTCCTGCTGTGCCACCGCGGGTCAGGAGCTGGTCCCACTCGCAAAATGGGAAGAACCGGGACCACCTTAAAGGGTTGTGTTGAAGGATTCATCAAAGGATGCCTACAGAGTGCTTAGCATAAGGCCCGCCCCTGGTGGGGGTGGGGGAGGATGAGACGATTTTGACCGCGAGGAAATGCGGGAGCCGGCGGGAAAGCGGAAGGGGTGGGCGAGGGCTCCGGGTGGCGCCCGGCGAGGTGGCAGCACAGCTCTCACGGGGTCCCGCCGAGATGGCCCGGCGGAAGCTTGGATTTCCTCCCGCAGCCCGGGTCGTGCGTGGGGTGACGGGCCGCCGCGGACCTCACCTCCCCCCCCGAGCAGCGGCGACCTTTGGAGCCTTCCGCGGACGCTCCGCCCCGGAAACACGCCCCCTCCGCCTTGGCGCGCTTTTGGAAGGCTGTCCGGTGCTCCCGTGCTTTCCGCGGGGTCGGGCTTGCTCACGCAGCTCCTTTCTCTTTCGTTAGCCTTGCGGCATCCCTCCTGCCCCCCCACCCCGGGCGCGGCGGGTCCCCCGGGCGCAGCGATGAAGCGGACCCGCGAGGAGGTGGACGCGACGCTCCAGATCGCCAAGCTGAACGCGGCCGAGCTGCAGCCCGCGGTGCACTGCCTGGCCTTCGGGCCCGGGGCCGGGGCGGCTGCCGGCGACTTCTGCCTGCTGGAGCTGGAGCCCGCGCTGTGCCAGCAGCTGGAGGCCGGGGACAGGTGACTGCCCCGCGGGGAGACGCAGGACGGGGAAACTGGGCCGGAAACGCAGAGGGCTCGCAGCTGCCCGGAGGCCTCATCTCCAGCGCGCTGCCTTTCTTCCGAGGGGTCCACGCCACTGCGGTCCGTCCACGTAGCTGGACTGCGGTGATCCAGAGGACTGGCCCAGCTCATCTGGGGGGAACACATCGGGAAATAGAACCTCAGTGAAGTTTTGGGAGCCCTGAACACTGATGTCAGGAGCTGCGGTGTACACTTTGCCATTGTAGCTTAAAATCCGGTGCTACTTTCTAATGTTTACAGAGTTCTCCTTGCCTTCCGCCCGCTTATATTCCACTGTAAGTAGGTCGGACTGTAGGGAATGAGTTGAAAGCCGTTCTACACAGTTGGTCATTGTGGGAAGCCTCCAAAAGCCTACTCGCGTGGGGCCGTTTAATGGAAATCTGAAGCTGTTTCTCATTTTGGGTCAGCTACACATGGGCTGCAAAGCCATGGATTAAGAAATACAGAGGAGACGTCTAGAGAGTTATTCAACTTTGTGCACGCCCAGCTTCTGGAAAAGGAGTTAGGGGCTCTGATTTGCTTCTCTTCTGCAGCACCCCACCTCCAACACCTGTATCTTATGAGGTTGTTTTCTTGTAGATTTCTTTAACTTGAACTCTTCAGGCTTTCAGTTTTCACATTTACTCGTTTGACGCTGTTATAATTAACTGGCCATCTACGGATGCTAGCCGCGAAGGATCTTTAAGGAAGCCTAAGCGGAGCCTCATTCATTTGGTTTTCATTCCAGCTGAGTTGGGGACGGGGTGGGGCGGAGTTTAAGAAAGGACTTCAGGTGGGCTGACTTTGCTTTTATCTGGTTACAATTCATCCACCTGGCAATCCAGAAGGACCAAGAAGTGCGTTGTTTAAAAACCTTTTTGCCAGGGGACGGGTAGTTGCTTTAAACAAAATATTGAAGCATGGATAGTGCAAGGTGGAAATAAATGTTGAAGAGTGGGTGCTTGGGACTTAAGTGTTTTTAGCGCTAGGAAACTCAAAACGAAACCCCACTTATTTTCACTTAAATTAAGTCTTTAACTTTAAAAAGCATGACACATTATTCTATTTCAGGGTTTGTTTTTATTTCTTTAAAAGAGGTGAATAGTGTAGAGGCGGGTTAAACGTTTTATAAACAAAACTGCTAGAGCCTCTGCCCTTGTCAATGCCATCGTCTTTGTCCTTAGCCTTTCTTCTTCTTCCTCACTTTTGTCCTTCCCGTCCTCTAGAGGATTTTGGAACTGTTTATGATGAAGATGTCTGTTGCCGGCTCAGTAAACCCTGTATTTTCTCTTCCTATTTTCCTGCAGTCTTGTGATTCGGGGTGACAAAGATGAACGGGCTGTCCTGTGCAGTAAAGACAAAACGTATGACTTGAAAATAGCGGACACTTCCAACATGTTGCTTTTTATTCCTGGCTGTAAAACTCCGGACCAGCTGAAGAAGGAGGAAACGCATTGTAACATTATTCACGCTGAGGTACTGTTCTCTGCCTTCTAATTTATGTGAGAATCACAACACCTGTGCTAATACTGCTTTTAATTAAAATCTAGGTATGGGGGCACCTGGGTGGCTCAGTCGGTTAAGTGTCTGACTCTTGATTTTGGCTCAGGTCATGATCTCAGGGTCCAGCGCTTGAGCTCAGCGGGGAGTCTGCTTGAGATTCTCTCCTCTCCCTTCTATCTTTAAAATAATAAATAAATAAATCTTTAAAAAAATCTTTAGTATAATCACAGGGGATCTGAAAAGTTCTCTAATGCAATTTAAAATGTCTCGGCCTTGTTTGGAGTCTTGTGAAGTTGGCTTATTTTCCCTATTGGATTTTTAAGTCATAGATAAGATGACCATTTTCTGCAACATGGAAAGTTTGTGATTAGGTGACATATTCTAAAAGTTTTACCTATTTTTAGTGAGTCTTGCTGGAGATATGTTTGAAAGGAGGCTCACTGAAGCCACAACTAATACTTTAAGTAATGTTTATGAGGTGAAGAAACGAAGAAATTTGAATTTTTGAGGCAGGTGTGTTTCTCACCTTTGAAGTCGGTTTAGCTCATTACGGCATCTAGCCATGCATAATAAATTCTTAATTATCATGGAGACTACTGATGACTGATACCAAATAGAAATTTCCATCCTGTCTAGATTATTATACATGTCATGATCCAAACATAGCCCTTAATTCTCTTGGAATGACGTTAGGCCAACTACTGCCTAAGAATTGGAATAGAAATAAGGGAAAATACTGGGAAATGTCAGTGATCCATCATGTTGCTAGAACAGAATAACTTCCGGTAAATTTTCTTTTTTTGGGGGGGGGGTTTCTGTATTTCAATTGTAATTAACTAGAAATATGGGCAGTTCAGTCTTTTGTAAAAGATGTCATTTTCTCATCGTGCACCTGTTTTATAGGTGTTTTTGCAGGTGTATAACAAACTAGGAGTACCTCTGAGCTCTCGTTAAGGGAATTCTGCGCATTGAGACTGAGGAAAGTGTAACAGAGATCTACCAACTGAAGTTTTTTTGTTTTAAAGATTTTATTTTAAAGATTTATTTAATCTTTAGGGGGACAGAGGGAGTAGGAAGAAGCAGACACTGCACTGAACAGGGAGCCCGTTGCAGGGCTTGATCCCAGGATGCCAGGATCATGAGCTGAGCCGAAAGCAGACACTTAACTTACTGAGCCACCCAGGTGCCCCAAGCTTTAAACTGTGGTTGCGCTTCAGATGCCTGGAAGGGTTAGGTGAGGAATGCCCATGGGCAGAGCAAGCTGCTGCTGATAAAATGGTAGCGGATATTAGTCTTTGCAGTAATAGAGAGTGGTGGGGTCTGTGGCAAATTGGAAAACACTAGACCCACATATGCGGGCAGCCATAGCATGGCCTTGTGGGAAAGCAGGCCAGTCTTCTGACTTCCTGCTTTCAAGTAAACCTTGACATTTAGATTCTGGGACAGAAATCTCCTCTAATATTTCCACATGGGCAACTAATTTCAACTCCATACTGACTATCCCTTCTGGACAGCATAAAACAGTCACCAACATCTGTGCTTTGGGTATAGTCAGCAACCCGTCCATTTGTGAACTGTGGATGAAACCGATCTTTTTGGTTTGGTTGTTAGGCTCCTCCCTTGGAATCCTTGGATTCAGCAGCATCCCCATCACTTGTCAATCAAGCCTTGTACTAGCTTGAAAGTAGAAGCATCCTTGCCCTTGCATTTTGGAAGGCACCCTGCAGATAATCCAGTGCGGCCTTCTCTCCTTACTTAAGTGAACGATTTAACCGGGCACCTAACAGACGCTAGGTACTGGCCGTCCCAGAGGTAGGGAGGGGTAGCAGATACTCATCCGTCCAGTAGCCACTGTCAACTGGATTGGTTGGAGTGATGAGCCTCTTGCGGTTTCACAACAAGGAATTAGCAGCATTCTTGCATTAAAGTCTCTCTTCCTTAACTTTCTGCTAGATTTTGACACCATAAGCCACACAGAGCAAGGAAACTCCCTCTCTCTTTTAACATCCCTTCATTATTTGAAGACTGTGATCACGTCTCTATTTTTTGTTTTCCAGCCTAAAAATACTCATTTTCTATTGTGTCCATCAGGTTTATAGAACTGTCCCATCTCGGTCATTTCTTTTCTGGGCATACACCCTAGTTTCCAGAGTACATTTGAGCTATTGACCTCAGTGACTGGCTCACTATGCTGGCAGTGTCTTCTTAATTGGGGTTTGAAAAGATGTTTCCTGAATATACCCATTCATTTGCTTGAGATGGCTGGAGGAGGCCTTCTCAACAGAAAGCACATTACCTGGCTCTCTTTTCTTCTTACTGGGAGCAGAGGAGTTGGTTGAAATTTTGTATGAAGTTTTCTTTTAGAAAGGCTCCTGAAAGGTTATGTATTTATATTTTCTAGATCTTTGGTTTTTCTAATAATTACTGGGAATTAAGAAGATGCAGACCTAAATTAAAGAAGCTAAAGAAACTTTTGATGGAAAATACTTATGAAGGACCCGATAGTCAAAAAGAAAAGGATTCAAATCATTCAAAAGTAAGACTTATTTTCATTTTTTTCTTTGAAATTTACAAAATAGAAATATAATTAGAGCCACTTAATGGCGACATTCTTACTTTTAGTGTTTATATTATGAAAATTTCGAACATACCCCAAAGCAGAAAGACGCCCCCCCATATATTCATCACTCAGTTGAACATTTATCAATATTTTGTCAATCTTGCAGCTTCTGTCTCCCTGCTACATCCCACCTTTTTTTCTTTCCTCCTTTTTCTGGAATACTTTAAAGCAAATGCTAGATATCATGGTGTCATTTACATAGCTGAAAGCGTCACATGTTCCTAACTATGGAATACGTTTTTTGGAAGTTTATTTTTTATTTAATTAAAAATATAATTAGGGGCTCTTCAGGAAAGACATTATGGAAGTGGAAAGTATTCTTATTCTCCTGTGAGAACTGATCGATTCCTGGAAGTATGGAAAAATATTTACAAGCTAAGTAAAAAAAATTCTCAAGTTTTTAATATAATTCAAAATTATAGAACTGTATGGGCATTCTGAAGACCGTATTTATGTTAGTTCTCGTTTTCTTCATTGACTGATTTTTTTTTCTTTTTTTTCTTTTTCTTTTTTTCCTATAGACCAGATAGTTCACTCATTTTATTTATTTAAAGATTTTACTTATTTATTTGACAGACAGAGATCACAAGTAGGCAGAGAGGCAGGCAGAGAGAAGGGGGGCAGGGGAAGCAGGTTCCCGCTGAGCAAAGAGCCTGATGCGGGGCTTGATCCCAGGACCCTGAGATCATGGCCTGAGCCGAAGACAGAGGCTTTAACCCACTGAGCCCCCAGGTACCCCAGTTCACTCATTTTTAAGTGCCTTTAATTCAGTGGCTTTAGGATATACACAGAGTTGTGTGGTCAGTCACCACAATGACATTCAGAACACTTTAACCACCCCAAGGAAACCCCGTACCTCCTACTTTTAACTGTTACCTTCTAATCTTACTTTTTCCTACTTCCCTCTCCCACTCAGCCCTACGTTACTTTTCTTTTCTCTTTGGCATCCTATCTACAAAACTGTGGCTATAGTCGACCTCACAAAGATCTACCCTATATTTTCTTCTTAGATTTCATGTAATAATCATTACACCTTATCAGATGAAATTGAGCTATGTATAAATACTGTTTTAATCTGTTCTATGTATCTATTCTCCCAAATTCAGTGAGTCTAAAAAAATATTTTTCAAAGGCCTTAAAATGTTGTTGTTTTTTTTTTTTTTTTTTTTCCTGGTTTCAGTATACAACGGAAGATTTGCTTGATCAAATTCAGGCAAGTGAGGAAGAAATAATGACCCAATTACAAGTTCTAAATGCCTGTGAGATTGAAGGTAGCGTTACTTACCATAATTATTCAATGGAATTATCATGTAAGAAAGAAATTTATGGACATTTTCATCCCACTGCATACTATCTATTTAATTATCTTTTGGTCTTAAAGCTTAGGTTAGGGTTAGGGTTAAGGTTAAAAAAGATATACTTATCTTTTTGGATGGGAGGTAGAGGCTACATGTCTTGTTTACATGACGAGGTCCACCTGACTGGTGAGTCCAGCCACTCCTAACAGGGCTTTTTCTTGAGGCACAGTTGATCCTAAGCCTTGGAAATAAAGTTTTAAATTATGGATGCCTGCCATTAATTGCTATGGTATAGGAGTACCATGAATGTTGAGGTTAGAAACCAATGGATTTTAATGCCACCCTCTTCATTTTTCACTTCTTGCATGGGGATGGATAAAATTTTGGTATGTGTCGAGGGGCGCATAGTTTATTCCTGGCGTTTTCTCAGATCGACATCACACACCTTCTTTTCTAAGGTCGCCTTTGTTTTTTCAGAATAGCAATAGTAACATTCTCCCTTGGAAATGGTGGATTTGTACTTGATTTGTTTCTCCAGGGGGGATGGTGTTGCATTCAGTGCTCAGTTGGCATTTTGTGATCTTTCTCAAGAACAGGGAAAGGTATCTTGACACCCAACCTTTATCTTGCCATTGATTCATATTGTACCTCTGAGTCTGTTGACTCTTGAGTGACCTAGCCCCCTTTATGAGCATAAGAACACCTCTGCAAGGCATCTAGAGGAGAGTTACAGCCATGCCAGTGCCCCAGAGTGGAAATCACTATGTGGGATATCCAACCTACAACCTTTGCCTCTTTTGTACAGTGTTCTAATGAAATCACTGAACCAGCTACAGGATTTCCGCATTTCCATTTAGAATGGCAAGATTGCTCTGAACTAATTATTAAAGCACTTGAAAAAATCAGTGTGAGTCTTAGGTAAGGTACTTTTTAAAAACCACTTGGGTTTCCCTCCAGACACAATTCGTAATGATGAGGAGAAAAGCATAAAAAGTGTTTCCTCTAAAGAAAACGAAGACTTTAGAAGTCTCTTTTGTACTGGGCAAGAGCACACTGCTGCTTCATCAATCTATTAGCCAATTAATTTGCTTACAATGTCCTTTGTAACTATTACTTTGGGAATTTGTAGGTTATTGGAGGCTTCTTGAATTTGATTATGAGATGAAACTTCTGAATCATGTAACTCAGCTTGTGGATTCTGAATCTTGGTCTTTTGATAAAGTTCCTTTGAATATTTGTCTTCAGGAGCTTGGACCCTTGGAGCCAGAGTGAGTATTTTAATCACTGTCCCTCCAAACTTGCTTAAAGGAAAGAAAATTATTTCCCAGCATGGAACTAAATATAGGGCATGGACTATTAATATTTTGATGTCTTACAGAAATTTAAAAAATAATATAACCAGGAAGGACTTAGAAGTTTTAGTCACTGGGCTGAATAAATGTCCATCATCTCTGTTTTGTTTGTTTGTTTGTTTTACTACCTTAAAAAATACAAGACAGAGGCACCTGGGTGGCTCAGTGTTAAGCCTCTGCCTTTGGCTCAGATCATGATCTCAGGGCCCTGGGATGGGGCCCAGCATCAGAATCTTTGTTCAGCTGGGAGTCTGCTTCCTGTTCCCCCCTCCCTTCAGCCTGCCTCTCTGCCTGCTTGTGATCTCTGTCAAAAAATTAAATAAAATCTTAAAAAAAATAGTGTGCTTCCTACAATTCATAATGATGCTTTAGCTATCTTATGATAATAAATGTATGCTCACATAATTCATGAAAAAAAATGTTTAGTATGGGCCTGTCATGTAGTAGCTTTCCAGTATATTTTACTTAGTTCCTGCTGTAAAAATTTTAATTGGCAACCAAAATCACTTAGTACGTAAAATCTCAAATTTGTATCTTAAGTTTTTAGTTAGCAATGGTGTTTAAGATATAATGCCTAAAAACATATTGAGAACTTTTCAAAGGAGTGTTTTAAATTTTTCAGGGCAATGATTGAACACTGTCTTAAATGTTACGGGAAGAAATATGTAGAGGAAGGTAAGATTTGGAAAGTATTTTAACTTGTCTGTGTTCAAATTGGTACACCTTTCTGAAATGTGCATGTGGGTTTGCGGGAGGTGAGTTGGGTGTAATTTTTCCTGAGAAATTGCACTGGGGAAAAAGAAACCGGAGTAGTGCATTGAATGAATGGTCAGAAGACCATAAGAAACGACCTTTTCCTTAGGTGAAGTTTATTTTGCATTGAGTGCTGATAAAATTTGCAGAGCAACAGCACAGATGCTCCTTCAGAATGCAGTGAAATTTAACCTGGCTGAGTTTCAAGAAGTGTGGCAACAAAGCGTTCCAGAAGGAATGACAACGCAGCTCGATCAGCTTAAGGTGAGGTTAGCGGTGGGGTTGCTGCCATAATGCAATGGGGTTTCATTCGTTACTGGGTGACATGAAATCTTTATTGCCACTGAGTTGGGAGCCACTTTATTTTCCAAGCCACCGTTTCCATTAGGAGCCGACACTGCATTCAGTCCGTCACTGCTTTGAGAATGTTTCTGCCACCTTGGTGAGGTCCTTCAGGCCGGTGTACAGTTAATCCTGCTTCCCGCCCCTGGTGTATTTCATCTTGCTGCATTTGTCTTCCCACCAGCACTTTTGGAACCTGAAGTGCCATATTTATGTGGCTGTAAAGAGCAATGGTGTCCCTCTGATCCATTCTCTGCAGTGCTGCTAGAATGACTTGGAAAATGTCAGTGGATGAGACGAACGTCATGCTTAATGATGTAATGGTTGCCTGTAGCATTTAAGATAGACAATGCAGGAGGGCACCTGGGGGTCTCAGTTGGTGAAGCGTTTGCCTTCGGCTCAGGTCATGGTCTGAGGGTCCTGGGATCGAGTCCCATGTCAGGCTCCCTGCTCAGCGGGGAGTCTGCTTCTCCCTCTCCCTCCTCCCCTACCACCTGCTTGTGTGTGTGTGTGTGCCTGCCCTCTCTCTCAAATAAATAAGTAAAATCTTAAAAAAAGAAAAACAAAATCCAGGACCCGTATCTTGGCCTGCAAAATGCTTCATCACCCCCCCTGTGGCTCCATTTCCTCCACCTGCTCAGTCTTTCAGGTTTTCAAGATCCTCAAGCTCTCTCCCACCTGAGGACCTTCACACAAGGCTTTTTGTTCTAGAACGACCTTTGTTGTAGTTTTGCCTTGCCACTTCCTATTCATCTTTGAGTCATTCCTTCAAGTAGGCTTTTCTTTTCTCTATAAAAAAATGTCTCCTATTGACTTTGCCGGAGCACCCAGTATTTTTCCTTCATGGCGCTCACCGCTTAGCTCTGGGAAAATATTTAATTATGTGAGTTTCCCACTCTCCGTGATAGAATTTTCTTCAGTGTTGCTTGCTAATAGTGTCGTATATGCTCAGTAAGTATTTGTTACAATGTGAGAGGATTTGCTCAATACTGAGAGTTCCTACTACATCCAGGCATCATGCTGGATGCTGAGAAGAAGATGTCACATGCCATCAGGGTCCTCATTCTGGGCTCTGGCAATGCGGGTGCCTCTGACATGCATAAATCCTTTCTTACAACGTAGCATGATCTGTGTCATGGGAAGGGTGTGTACAAGGTGTTATGGGAGCAAAGGAAGGGGACTTAACGCATTTCACTGACTGGTTGATCGGGGATGAATTCCTGAAGGCATGGCTGTTTGAGCTGCCGAGTTTGAAAGGATGAACTATGAACTCTCTAGATGGAAGGGCAGAGATGAGGACCCCGGAGAGTGTGTTCCAAGGCATGGAGAGAGAGAAATTGGGGCACTATTGGTAGAGATGCGTGACTAGAATAAAAGGTGCTAGTGAGTCAGTGAGGGACACTACGGTCTGTGCAAAGGGATAGAAAGCTCTTGGGGACCTTTTAGTGACATCAGAAGAGAAGAGCTACCTGATGAATTTGACCTTTTGGAAAGAACACTGTGACCTTGAGGATGTTTGGATGGAAGGTTGGCTAGATTATGAAAAAGGAGAAATCTCCAGGCTCTCTACAGTCATATACTCGTAACGAAGAAAGTACTGGCCAAAGAAATTAGGTGATGAGGAATGGTTAAGGGAAATGTTGAGGCCTTAAAATCTATAGGATTAAGTGATCACATAGGTATGGGGTTTGAATAATGCAATCTAGGATAATGCCCAGAGTTCATGGTTTCCTAGGATAATGGGACTAGAGCAGTTTTGGGTATCAAATGAGTTCTTAGATATGTTTAGATAGGGTATAGAGTTCTTGCTCTCAGAAGAGTAATTTGAGTTGAAGGTGCATGTGTTGCGGTCATTAGCAAGTAGTGTTTGCAGTCTGAGGTTAAGTCGAGGTGAGTTGAGACACCCAGGACAATGACATTGAACCAAGTTGAGGTATCAGGGTAGGAGCAGAGGGAACTGCAATGCTGAGTTAGGAGGAAAATAATAAGACGGTGATGTCAGCGATGGAGATTCAAAGAGGGAGGAGACAACATCAATAAAGAAAACAGGGCTAGCAAATCCAAGGAAGGGTGCCCCTAGATCTGGCAATGACAGGTCATTGGTGACTTTGAACTAGAGCCATCCTGATAAATTGAGCAACGGAAGTCAGATTGTAGAAGGGAAAAAGAGAATTCACTGTCTAAGGGAGCTCTTTTTATGAAAAACACTATTGAGGGTCTCTCCTAGAGGAGGTGGAAGTTTGTGGAAGTTTCATGTAGCTGACGTCTTGAGCGGCTTGGGCTCAGCCAAACCTAAAGGTAAAAGAATGAGTTGTATTTAGACACTAAACCATTATTCTAACTGCCCTTTTTCATTTCATTTTTTAAAAATAGGGTTTAGCCTTGGTGGATAGACACTCGAGACCAGAAATCATATTTTTGCTAAAAGTAGATGATTTGCCTGAGGATAATCAAGAACGTTTTAACAGTCTCTTCTCTCTAAGGGAAAAGTGGACAGAAGAAGACATTGCTCCATATATTCAGTAAGTAATTTACCAAAGTGGATTTTGAGGGTTTTCTTTTTTTTCTTTTCTTTTTTAAAGATTTTATTTATTTATTTGATAGACCGAGATCACAAGTAGGCAGAGAGGCAGGCAGAGAGAGAGGAAGCAGGCTCCCTGCTGAGCAGAGAGCCCAGTGTGGGGCTCGATCCCAGGACCCTGAGATCATGACCTGAGCCAAAGGCAGAGGCTTAACCCAACCCACTGAGCCACCCACGTGCATGTGACGGTTCTTTTTATAAAGAGATTTTATAAAGAGATTTTTATAAAAAGATTTTTTATTTGGAAATTTTTTTTTTTTTTTTTTTTTTTTTTTTTGAGCATTCCCTGAGGACATGGCTTCCTTTGAAACTTTTTCAAGTGGTGGCCGTCTTTTCTGTCATTCTTCACCTCTGATCCCAGAGGTGGGAATGTGTTGTCTTTCTTTCTCATGCTGCCTCTAAAACCACTTCTCTGCCCTCCTCCCTGCCAAAGTGCAGCACTTTGAGGCCCAGTCAGACTACATGCCCCACTATGGCTCTAAAGCAGGCCCTCTCGCTGACGGACACCCTCCCCCCTCTCCTGCTGCCTCGCTTTAACATTTCCCATAGATGCCAGATTGCAGGAAAACGACCTAGCTGATTGGTCACTGTTTATAGGACTCAAATCTCAAATGTACTAATGCTGCCACCTCTTCACTGGCAGAGGAGGTCTTAGCTCTCCTGTCCTCTCTTTACCCAGGCTGGACTTAGAAACAGATAAGAAAAGACAAGGATGGGGCGCCTGGGTAGCTCAGTGGGTTAAGGCCTCTGCCTTCGGCTCGGGTCGTGATCCCGGGGTCCTGGGATCGAGCCCTGCATCGGGCTCTCTGCTCGGCGGGGAGCTTGCTTCCTCCTCTCTCTCTCTCTCTCTCTCTCTCTGCCTGCCTCTCTGCCTCCTTGTGATCTCGCTCTCTGTGTCAAATAAATAAATCTTAAAAAAAAAAAAAAAAAAAAAGACAAGGACAACGTCTTTCCTACCATTAAATCTGCCAGCCTCCTTGCATTATGTCTGCACAAACGCCCTTTGCAGTCCTTCCTCTATAATGCATGAACCATCCTTACTCCTAAGGCCAGTCCTTCTTCTGCACTAGATCCATCCCTCTGGCCTTATTTTTTTAAATACTTTTTTTTTTTTTTTTAAGATTTTATTTATTTATTTGACAGATGGAGATCACAAGTAGGCTGAGAGGCAGGCAGAGAAAGAGAGAGAGAGAAAGAGGAGGAAGCAGGCTCCCTGCTGAGCAGAGAGCCCAATGTGGGGCTCGATCCAGGACCCTGGGATCATGACCCGAGTGGAAGGCAGAGGCTTTAACCCACTGAGCCATGCAGACGCCCCATCCCTCTGGCCTTATTAAAGACATACATCCTCTAGTTATCTCTGTCCCCCCTTTTGTTATTGATGTCTCCCTACCTGCTGGATTGTTCCCATCAACATATGGTATTCTGTACTATTGCTCCTTTTAAAAAACAACAACCTACTGGACCCCATACCTTCTGCTCTGTTTCACAAGAAATTCCTTTTAAAAGTTTGGGCACTCATTTCTGCTTCTTTGTTTCCCATTCTTTCCTTAACCTGTTGGCCTCTGTCTTTCTACATTTCAGTGGTCAACCGTCCATCCTTATTTACTTGGCCTCTTAGAACTGTTGGACACTGTGCACCATTTTCTACTTGAAGCACACCTTTTTTGTCCCCTCTCTCCCAAGGCAGCTCCTTCTCTGTCTCTTGCTCAGATGTCCCGGTTCTTTCAAACCTTTAAATGCTTCTGAGCTCTGGGACTGTTCTTGACCATCTCCTTTTCCATTTGTGTTTTTTTCCTTAGTGCCCTCATCTAGACCTGGATTTAAACTTAATGACTTCCTAATTTTATCTTCATATTTGATCTTTTCCCTGAGGTCCAGTTTCTCTTAAACCTGGCTGTCTATTGAACATGTCCACCCGGATATCTAAGAGGAGTTTCAAACCGGACATGCTCACAACAGAACCGTGGTTTCCGCCTTGTCCTAACCCTATCTTCCACCTCTCAGAGACATCACCACCATTAGTCCAGTTACTCAAGCAAAACATCTGGGAATCATACTTGTCTTTTTTCTTCTCTCACTCTCTGGTTCAAACTATGAGCAAATCCTAATGGGTCCTCTAGGACCTGCCTCTGAATTGGTGTCCCTACTTGTATTTTTCCCTCTTCTCCTGTCCCATGCTTCAGACTTTTTATTTTGGAAAATATTAAATGTTCAGAAGTGACAATATAACATAATGAATGCACCAGGTACTCACCACTTAGCTTCCATAATCATCAACTCATTGCCTCCATTATTTAAAACTTAGATCACATTCTGCTTTTACATTAATGAAAACCCACCTAGTAACTTCCCTTTATACTTAGAATTAAATCACAACTGCTCCTTCCCATGTTCTTTAAAGCCTGTATGACCTTGCTATTGCTCCCTTCTCCAACTCCTGTCCCTTCATTCTTTCTTTACCTCATACATTCCAGTGATAGTCCTTCTCCTCTTTGGGGTACAGAAGATGAAGCTAAAGTTCAGGGAGGGTGAGTAACATAGATAAGCACCCACAGGTAGCCTGGGACCCAGCGTCTCTGTCTAGACCCTCCTATATTGCATGGCTTGTATTTCTAATTTGGAGACTGTGATACAATGGGGAAAAAAATTGGACTTAGAAGTCATGCAGACCTGGCAGCGAAGTTTGATTCCATCCTTGACCACCTGAGTTCCATATCTAATGTGGGGTTAAGTAATACATTACTGTTACTCTTTCTGTGGTTAAACAAGGTAATACCTGTATAGTACCTAGTTCAATTAAGGCTTAGTAACCACTCTGTACCCTGTCTCTGCCACAAACACATATCCTTATGCTTGTTGGAAAGATGGATATAGGTAAGAGAGATACAAGTAATTAGCACAATGAGTATAGTATATATATATAAATATAGTATATATATAGTGTATATGTATATGAATATTATACATATATATAAATACCTAACACTATTAATATTCATGCTATTCACTTATTTTTTTTTTCCCCACAGAGATTTGTGTGGAGAGAAGCAAACCATAGGTGCATTGCTCACTAAATATTCTCGCTCGTCAATACAAAATGGTGTTAAAGTTTACAATTCAAGAAGACCCATTTCTTAAAAGAACAACAATCTATTCTTTGGGACTGAAGTTGCTTCATAAAGTTGATGGTTATAAGAAAAAGATTCTTGCATATATTTGCATATACAGATTTTAAAAACATACTTTGAAATGTTTTTCTCCTAATCCTAAGTGTTTTGAAACTACGGCTCTTTTCCCCTTAAATGAAATAGGACATTTCTTTGTCTTTCAAGTTATTTTTTAATTATGCATACAGACTAAATGAAGTAAGGACAAAAGTGTTGTTTTCTATATTTAGTATATCTCGAGTCTATATGGTTTTATTTATAGAAAAGTGTTGGCCTTTTTTATATTGAAAATTGCATTTCTTTAGTTAGGATTTGACGTCCTAATAATTAACAAAGTTAAAGGCTTTTTTCAGAGAACTAAATAGTAATACTTTCCTAGAAAAACTATTTGTTCACTAAAATGTCATTTCTCAAGTGATTTCCCCTCTATTTTCAACATTCCACCAAGACAGAGAGTCACTAGATCCTCTATTATCTAAATTAGTCATTTACATTGATGAAGTTGGCTTGGTAATAGCTGCTGTGTTGCCTGGCTGATGTCCATGTGAAATGGGTTTGATCCTCAATCTTACATGAAGAATACTAATAGAGCAATTTTCAATCCTGTAATGGAGAAAAGGGTCACGGCTAATACTGGAAATCTACAAGTAATGTCTAATGGGTTTTGGAATGCTTGATAAAATGCCTTTATAGCTTTATTTTCCTGATTTGTATTCATTTGACCAAAGTTCAAATTAATTTTAACTTAGCTAATAAGCTTGTCACCAGGACAGTTTGAGGGGTTAGGTGAAAGATAAATCTGATCCAAGGTTAAAAAAAAAAAAAAAAAGTTAATGGGTAATCCACAATTACCTAACCAAGATTTGACTGTTACTGAAATTTGCAACTGTTTTATTCTCTTGTACATAAACTGCACATGTCGATGGTTTCAAAATATTTGTCTTTTCAATAAATGTTTTGTATCTATGTGTGATTATTTAAAAAAAAAAAAATACTGAGGCAGCAGTACCTAGTGAGGCCTCTAAGTCTGAGTTAGGACTACCTGGGTCTAATTACATGTCTCACAGCTACAGTCACTGGGGCCCAATGAGGTCATGCTGTCCCTTCACACAGCAAACCCGCGGGACCCTCTTCTTTTGGTTTCATGTGTCCCTGGTTCTAAGACACCCGCCACCCCGCCACACACACACCTATTCCCCGCCCAGCTCTTCCGCAATCATTATACATTTCCTAATTTTTAACAGTGGGCTTCCAAGTGCCAGGGAAAGCAAAGGCAAAACCCCCAATGTGATCTCGCAAGCCCCACCCACCGGCACAGAACTTCCGGCTCCCGCCCTCGGCGCCGTCCCAGTTCCGCTGACGCCAGAGGTCAGAGGTGACAGGCAAGATGTCGGCCGTCTGTGGCTTGGAGCGGTTGGTGAAAGGAGCATCTTCGTGACAAGCTAGCCGGAGACGGCGAAAAGGAGCTGAATCGCGGGAGCAAGTTTGAGGCGGCGGCGGCGGATCGGACGCGGCGGGGTGTGGCCGCCGAGGGAGCCCTGGCCGCGGGGCATGACTGTCGGGAGCTTGGGGGAGCGGGGAGTAGGAGGTGCCGGAGGCTGGTAATACCCCGCAGCCCCCCGGGAACCGGGAAGCCAAGCTCGGTGGGAGCGCTTCATGCCGCCGACTGGTTTAGAGCCCGCCAGGATGAACAGGAAGAAAGGAGACAAGGGCTTTGAAAGCCCAAGGCCATATAAATTATAAGTATTTTTTCGTATTCCTTTCCTTTTCTAGCTTTAGTTCTTATTAGTTTTATTTTGTGATTGCTTGAAGCTGCCTTGGTGACCCTGGGAAACCTAGTGGGAAACTAGAGCCCACTCACGGTGGTGGAAATGCCGTTTGTAGGACCCTATGTGGACAGTATGTATGGTTTTGAATGGCAGTATTGTTCAACAGATTTAATGTCCCTTGCAGGTCAATAATTGTTTTTCTTAAAATACCTAGCTTCCTATTTTTATACGAAGAAATCTGTTTTCGTGGCTGTTGCTAAATTTAAAACGTGCAATTACCTTAATCAGTAGGATTGTGAGCTGCTTAGAACTTCCTGTTTATTCTTCCGTAGAATTATGTTTTTATTTAATAATAGCAGTATTTTTTTCTTTTTCTTTTTAATATACAACCCATCAGGTTGTCTGCATCAACAATATAAACTTCCAGAGAAAATCTGTTGTGGTAAGTATATTCTCAACAATTATAAGCAGTAACAAATTCAAACATCCTTTACAATATTTAGAAATGTTCCCTTCCAGATGACTATGCTTCAAGAATAGGTAATATTCAGAATTCAGATCTGTGTGACTCCAAGGTGCATAGCCTTGCTGCTGTTCCGACTGCCTCAAATCTCCCTTCTTTCTCTCTCTTTTTGTTTCTGTATTAACATTTTATTCTGTTTAATCTGTTGTGGAATATGAAAGTCTCTATTACCAAGCATTTTAGAATTTTGCATGACACAAGAATAAGCCCATAGTGAAATTTCTTCTGTGAGAAAAATTAAGGTTAGCGCTCTCACAGACTTAACTTGGCTGCTAAGAGGCCGGTTTTGTTTTTTGATACTTGGCTGACCTGGTTTAGGAGCATTGCTTTCTGAAGGTTTAGGTATGGTGTTAGGGTGTTTGAAATCTCGCAGACCTTGCCTTTTCCTTTGATATTTATAGATTGCGTATATAATCCAGTCTGGGACAGTCTTTGGATGCCCAAGTGCTTAATTTGGGGGGACCTATATTAAAGAGACAAAATCTTAGTGAGTTTTGTTTTTTTGTTTTTTGTTGTTTTCATTTGTTTTGTTTTGGTTTTTGCAGGGGGCAGGTGATGGCATGAACTTTCTTCTGGAACTGTTACCGCTGTATGCATGTGTTTACTCAAGATGAGCTGTATAGTTAAATTAAAAAGTAACCTATTATAGGAATCTTAGAATCCTTAAAGGTTCACTAAGTCCCATCTCCTTATTTAGGGAATTTCTCTGTCAATATTCCTTGCATAGGATTACAGCTGACCCTTGAATAATGTAGGGACTAGGGGTCCTGACTTCCTGCAGGGAATTTCTCTGTCAATATTCCCTGCATATGGTTACAGCTGACCCTTGAATAATGTAGGGGCTAGGGGTCCCGATTTCCTGCACGGTCAAAAATACGGGTATAACTTTGACTTCCCAAAATCTTACTGCTAATAGCCTACTATTGACCAGAAGTATTACCAGTAACATGAACAGTTGATTAATGTGTATTTTGTGTGTTTATTATATACTGTGTTATTGTAATAAAGTAAGGTAGGGAAATAATGTGTTCTTAAGAAAATCATAAGGAAGAGAAAATATATTTACAGTACTGCCCTGTATTAGGAAAAAAATCCACATATACGTGTGCCTGTGCAGTTCAAACCTGTGTTGTTCAGGCGTCAGCTATATTTACCTTGTACTTCATGGAAGGATACTTAGGTGTGTTGTGTTGTGTTAATTGGGCAGGGAAGATATGAGAATTAGGAAGTTTAATTAAGATGTTACTGTAATAATCTTGGGGAGAAATGATGAAGCCCTGAATGAAATAACAATAATGAAAGTGGTATAGAAATAGAGTTGACATGATTGACTGAATTACAGTGAATGTTCATTGAGTACATTCTATGTATGAGACTTTTCTAAGGTTTTATGTGTGTGACCTCAATCACAATAACCCCATGAAGTAGACACTATTTTAATCCTAATTTTTAAAATTAAAGTGGATGAAAGACTGGAGACTAAGCAACTTTCTTCAGGGCATTAGGTTAACAAGTGATGGAGCCATTTTTAAATCCAGGATGACCTAAGAGTCACCTGCAGCTCCTTACTGTCTGTTCCCTTTTTCCATCTCCTCTGCCCCTGCTGAAATAATAGATGGGAAGGAATTGCAGATGACTCATACTAAGAATGTTAGGAAGGAGCTATGAATGAGTTGGGGGTTTCCCACTAGAAAAATTGGTTGGATGGTGAATGGATTAGGGTCCTAGAAGGAAATAAGCAGTGTATTCATACAGGTTAATTGAGGGAAGGTTGTAAAAGGACTATTTAGAACAAACAGGGTTAAGAGAAACCAAGAGATGGTGGGGCACGCTGGGTTAGCAACAAGGAACAGTTAACACTTCTAAACCTGAAAAAACAAAGGAAGAGGTTACTAGGGTATAATAGACTATAGTAGCTGTGGGAAAGAGTCACTTTATAGGTGTGTGGCCTTTGGTGGCAAAAGCTACTGCCTACTGGGTAGCAGGGAACCTGAAGTTTAGATGTAATGAGCTCACTTTTCTTCTCCAGTTTTCTCCTCATGCTTCCCATTGGACCACCCCAACTAGAAGCTAAAGAGCTAGTGGCCAGTTAATGTAAATCCTGGGGTATAGAATGGAGAGTGGATTCGGAGGGGCAAAAGGAGAATATGTAGAATAGTCTATCCATTTGCCCCCAAAAACATTCTTTCTTGTTTTTTTGTTTTGTTTTGTTTTGTTTGTTTTGTTTCTGTTTTTGTTTTTGTCTTTTTGAGATGAAAAGCTAGCATTCCCAACACAGGGAACTTAATGAAGTCTCACCCATTATTGCAGAGATTGGCAATGGCTAACTACCTATTTTTGTAACAAGTCTTGTCACAGTGCAGTCACGTCCACTGATTTATATATTGTCCACAGTGCTTTGGAGCTGCGCTGGCAGAGCTGAGTACCTATGACATAGGCTGTGTGGCCCACAAAACCCATTTACTGCCCGACCCTTGAGGGAGTTTGCCAATCTCTGATCTCATGAATTCATGTGAGGATATGGCCGTTCAGCTCTACTCCCACTAAAGTATTAGCTCCCACCAGTATCTTTCATCCAAAACAGTGGAAAGAAAAGTAAAGAGAACGTGAAACGTAATTGCTACAGCCCCTGCTTTCTTTGGCTGTTGTCAAGGCCAAAGTTGATAAACACAGCTTCCTCATTCTCCTGCCCATTCCGTTTTCCCTTTTTCTTCTGCTGATATTTCTGTTGGTCTGACTAGACCTTCATTCCTGTAGGATCTGCATCCTTGCCTGTCCTGTCTTTATTGAGTTGTTGCTTCTTTTCCGTTGATGACGACTGTTGGCCAGGTGAGCCATAAGAGGCGTTGCATGAATCCTCCTGGACTGCAGACAGAATTGTTGTCCTTACTGTGTTGCAGAACCTAATCTTTGTTTGATAATTGGGATTAGTCATCCCAGTCAGTATAGTGGCCTCTTTCTCTGCCTGACGGTTTAGTGGCATGAGGAACCCAAAGTGGTCAAGGGACAGTCTCAGTTTCCCGTGTAATGGAACCAGGATTATGTGCCCTGGTGGATGCATGTTTCTCCTGGCCAAATATGCCTAACTCAGGGTTACAAAGACAGCAAAGATTCCTTCAGTGTTTTTTTTTTGTTGTTGTTTGTTTGTTTTTTTTAATATAATAGTGAGAAGAGTCACTCCAGCTTTTACCCTTGGTTTGCAGATCTAGTTTGGCCATGGAAAGCTGACCTTGCATATTGTCCACTAGTTCAAACAGCATCCTATTGGAGGTCTCTCAATTGATGTAGTACCTGAGCCTTCAGTAGCTGATCACGCCAGCATTTCTGGATTATAGGGCACATGATGAAATGAGTAAATTTTGTGTGTAAGAGCCCATCACCACACTTTCCTGTATACTTAGAGACATGTATGAGATATTACAATGATATGTATGGTCTTCTACAAGTATGTAGTGGTTTGGGGGGAAAATCTAGAATATGTCTGCTCTTGTAAGGACAGATATGTTCTTGATGTCCGCTGTCTTATAGTCGTTCTCCTACCAGGTGGTCCTTCCAGTACCATACTGGATGCTTAGTATGAGCCTGTGCTAGTGGCAGTGGGCCCTCAGCAGTGGTGGTAGTCAGCACATCCGTGATGGAGGGAAGACCATGCCATAGGGCTCAT